GCCGGTTTAAAATGTACATGCCTTACAAACCGGCTAAATACGGACTCAAAATACAGTGTCTTACGGATTCACGTAATGGTTATTTGAGCGGAAAAGACACAGATGGATTTAGTATCAGTGACGAGTACAAAAAATTCCTAAAGCCTACACAAGCTGCGTTGCGCTTAGCTGAACCGCTCTTTGGTAGCAAGCGAAATATCACAGCTGATAATTGGTACTCTTCTATTCAATTAGTGGATATTTTACGAACGAAAAACCTGACTGAAAAAAAAAATAAGTCTGAAATACCTTCTTTTTTTCTGTCCAACAGAAACAGACCTGAAGGGTCAGCAATTTATGGATCTAGGGAAGAATGTACCTTAATTTCTCATGTAGGAAAAGTGGGAAAAGCTACAGAACTTATATCTTCAATACAGAGTAGACGTTATAGTGATCCCTCTACTGAAAAACCAGAAATTATTTCTTATTATAATGAGAATAATGGAGGTGTAAATTCCCCAGATGAGAAATGCTTCAAAAGCACCTCAGGCCGTCGAACCCGAAGAAAAGACGAATGACAATGACGAACATTCCATGTCAAATACGTCTTACAATTGGCCAGATACTTGGAGTTCAAGAAGGACAAGAGGACAATCAGATGAATGTTCTTATTTTAGAAAAACGCAAGATTTGCAGTGTGTGTCCGAGTAGAAATCGCAGGATGCCAAAATACCTGTGCTTACGTTACAGAAAGCCTGTTTGTTTGGGATGTACAAAACGACTATGTAAAAATTGCATATAAAATTGGTAAAGTTTGACTGATGCTGGAAACAAACATTTTTGTGTTTAGTGTGCAGTTTGTGTTTGCATAGTTTAGTCTTTGGAATTAGACCCTTTATATGACTTTTGAGTAATATTCATATTCTTAAGAAATCACTTTGATTCTGAAGTATATTTTTTCAGAAAATGATGATAACAGCGAACCCCAAAATCCTTCCACCTCCATTCCACGGAAAAGGAAACTTCCCGTACCTCAATGCAATACATCTATTAGGAGAAAAATATATGAAAAAAAGTTATATTTAGTAAATTTGGAAATTCGGCAAAAACAAAGACTTTTTCAAAAAGAACTAAAATTGAAAAACTTACAAATCAGAAAAGCAGAACTGGAATTGGAGAAATTTATTAAGTTTTCTAATTAAATTAATAATTATTTTATCCTAAATATAACCTGTAATATTAGTACAAATAAACTTATTAAACTTTGTTTTAAACTCCTTTAGAAAAAATTTCCTTCCAGGTTACCAATAACTATGTTTTCGTCATCACCATCAAATTCAGGGTCATTTTCTGGCCAGCGATCGTTACAAACAATGGCTAAATTATGTAAAATTGCACATGCAATAATAACCATCATATTGGTCTTCATGTTCACTCGTAATCCGATTGAAAATGCTGGAAATCGACGCTTCAAAATTCCAAAGTATCTCTCAATAGTATTTCTGGTGGCTTTGTGTGAAACATTATATGCTTCCTCAGCCCGATCTCTGGTGTGATCAGATATCTTTTACAAGCGTAACCACTATTAGCAAGAAGATATCCTGTGCCATACATATCCCGTTCTAATGCGATAGATAAAGGGCAATCATTAAAGATAGTGGAGTCGTGAACAGATCCGGGCCAGCGAGCTCGGTTGAGAGAGAAAAAAAACTTTTTCTACACCTAAAGGTTTCTGCAAGATGTCCAGCTGGAGATCGAATTGGTATATGCGTGCAGTCAATAGCACCGATTACACAAGAAAATCGTCGAATTTCAAAAAATTTTTTTGTACTGTTGGTATTGCCTCCATGAGGGCATTTTTAAGAAGTCAGCCTTTAATCGTAGTATCTGCTTTGACCTTGTAGATAATCCGACAACATTGGATTTATGTACTACGGCAGAGTCCTCAACCAACTGTTTAAATGAGAAGTTGTTCTGTGGCACTTCATGCTCTGTTGTGATGGGTGAGATGATCTAAATTATTACCAACACGATGTAAGATTTCCATCATGATATCTTTCGAGATGCGGAACCTTTCCTTAAAATCTATGTAATCGTATCTTTCGAATGGGTCGCTTCTATATCAAAAGATTCGTGGTCTTCTTACAACTATAATTAAATACTTTATAATATTAATTTCTTGTTTTTACTTACAAATTCATAATAATAATAGACAATTTTTAGTAATTTGACAACTGCAGCTGTATTTTAATTACTGCTTTAGTACCTATAATTAAGTAATTCTCAATCCAAATCCGTTTTGATAGTAATGTGATAGTAATCAATAACTTAATTGACGTTTATACAACGAATAACAATGAATGATTAGTGTTTTACAGCTTTACATGTATTTGATATCTCGATGTGATTCCCATTCTGAAAATTGATTACTATCAACTGATTGGCGTAACAACGAATTATATTATTTGATGGTTGTTAAGGGAACTTGATTATAATCAACTTCTTGATTCGCATTTTATTGAACAACATAGTGTTTCATTGAGAAATTCATTGGTTACAATATTTGCTTGCAAATTATCTGGGAAAATATTTTTTCATCTATATGCAGTAGTTTGTTCATTAGAAATGATTAGTTGTATTTTTTATGAAACACTTGCAAAGCACTTACACGCTGGGTAATAGTAGCTACGAAATATTTACATTTACGGTCTAATATTATTTCGCGTTTAATATCTGTTGCGCCATCTAACAGTGTTTCGTTCAAACTGTACCTAAAACAATGACGATGTTTTGCCGACAAAGATGGAAGTTTATTTAGCTGCATAATTTGGTACTCATTTGTTAAATTGTTAAGTAGTTTAGGACTATATAAAAAGTGCTTGCTCTAATTTAAGTGATTAATGATTAAAAGTCGATCACTATAAATATGTATTTTGGGGTAATAATACCCACAGCTGCTTCTTTAGGTCGTAATTCTGTGTTTACCAAAGAAGAAGAAGAAGAAGTTTTGACAAAGAAGGTCATAAAGTTATCAAAACATTTTTATGGGATAATTCCCACAGAAATAAAAAAAATGCGCCTATAAATACGCCGAAGAAAAAAGTTTACATCATCCATTTTCCAAATAAAAAGAAATTGCTGGAAGAGACTGACTTGGCGGCTTCCTAAAAAAAATCCAACTATTCGATTAAGAAAACCGGAGGCGACAAGTATTAACCGCATATCTGCTTTTAACAAAACTGAAGTAAACCTATTTTCCCTAATTTAAAATCAATATTGGATAAATATAAATTTGCGTCATCCAAAATATATAATACAGACGATACAGGCATAACAACCGTCCAAAACCCCGTAAAAATACTTGCCGAGAAGCAACAAAAGAGAGTCGGCTTTATTACAACAACAACCATTATGTGCTGCATAAGTGCCTCAGGAACATATATTCCACCTTTGTTTATTTATACCAGCAAAAGGATGAAACCAGAGTTAAAGAAAAATGGGCCACCTGGTGCAGTCTACTGCTACTCGGATAATGGGTGGATAAATGAGCAAATATTTCTCGAATGGCTCCAGCATTTTTACAGTGTTGTAAAATCTTCAAAGGAGGATCCAGTATCACGACATTCGAAATAGCTGAAATACTTAAAAATTCATACGGTCGCGTAGCCACACCAGTCAAAGCCATTAAAGGTTTTGGGAATACAGAAATATTCTATGTAATCCTGAAAATTTTACCGATGAAGACTTTGCTCCAGGTGAATCATTCATACAAGAAAAAGATAAAAAGACACTAGACCAAGAGAAAAAAAGTAGATTAGATAAGGAGAAGAATAATAAGGAAGTTAAGGGAATCAAGAAAGTTCGATACATGACAACCAGGATACTCAAAACATGACTCAGTTGCAGTTGGAAATAAAAGATTAAAAAACATAAGGAAGCAACATTCCGAAATAATGACATCAACACCAATGAAGTTACTTCTAAAACAAAAACAGCGGAAGAAGGAAGAGCAAATGAGAAATAAAGCCAGCAAAGGAACCAAGCGAAAAATAGGCATCTAAGAGTCCAGTCATCCGCTAATAGTTCCAAAAAGAAATTGTATAAGAACACAGAAGATCACAAAAGATAGATCATCTGAAGATTAGGATGATCATGATGACCGTGATAGGGATGTTAACTAAGATATTTGCACAATTTGTGACGAATTCGGTAAAAACAGAGAACACTGGATCCAATGCAGCATTTGCGGCTAATGGGAACACAAATACTACCAGTTTCGAAGGCAAAATTTATATTTGCGATTTCTCCATTTAATTATTTTTTAAATAGGAGTAATAGTGGCAGTGGTCACTTTTACCCAAAAAGACAAAAGAGGGAATGTAAAGGTAGTGGGGGCAAAATATTGTTAGACAGGAAGTGCGATCTTTAGAGGCCACATTAAACAAGGAAAGAGAGTCTCTCTCCTTGTTTGATATCAAATTTAGTTGGGTTATGTTATTGTTTGTCCCAAATGTCACATGAAATCTTATTTATATTGAAATTTTTTAACAATTGTGTCGCATTTTAGACTATTACTGTTAATAATTAATTAAAACTTTCTCGTCTAAGACACATTCTAAAAAATATTATATAGCTACTGTTAATAAGTGTCGGAAAATTTAAATTTGGCGCATTCGCATTTCCGGATATGTCCGCCATCAGAGGCCACTTTTTTGGTCTCCTTTTCATAAGGATTAGATTCCCTCTTTTGTCTTTTTGCTCGATGCTTTTACCCCTCGGCAGCGGGTAAATATAAATCTGAAAAATCGTTTTAATTTTTTTTTGTTCTGTTTAAAAATTTTTCATAAATACAGTTTGAAGTACTAAGATTTGAAGTTTTATTTACGTTAACAGTATAATTTTTAAATGTAGCAGTACAAATAAACCAAAATTCTTAGGTGGCCACTATTCCCCTTCTTTCCCCTATTAGTAAGTAGTAGGTAAGACAATTAAAGTGAATACATTTATTTGTTAATGCTTACCTCTTATATAAAAATCCTTAGCTGTCTCTCTACCAATTCCAGTGTTAGCACCAGTGATCACTGCAGTTTTACCATCTAATCTAGCTTCAGAATTACAGGAGGCAGAAAACATAGAACCCATTTTTTATTTCACACGAAAACTAAATAAACGAAAACTATATAATTTGATAAAATACAAGAAAAAATAAAATGCAAATTTTGTTTTGTTATTTAAAATGTGTAGACACATTCACTTTTTTAATCAGTGTAGAATCAAACTGATGTGACTCCACAACTATTTATTATTTGTTCTAAAATACCGGTTTCTGTGTGATGACCTTTATTAAAATTATAATTATGGCGATCAAAAAGATTCAGTGACTAGGAATTTGGCTGTTTCATACGTAATACCTAGGTAATTTAAAATAAGCAGAATCATGGTATTCTTTCTAATTGTGGTCTTTTAATTTGATATATATATATATATATATATATATATATAATATATATATATATATGTATATATATTAATAAAGTATTCAACTAGTGAATTCAGAGGTTTATTCGGTAATTCAGGTTGGCAAAATAAAAAACAGAAGTCAACTACTTCATAAGTTTATAGAAGACGTTTCACTTTATACTTCTAAAGCTTCATCAGTTCTCTAAAATACAAAGATGACATAGAGTTTATAAGAAATACAGATCTAATAATTTATTACTTACAACTCAATATGTAGTATTCAAGATGTTATTGTATATGTACTTAAGTTTACTCATAAATTTAGAACTAACTTATACATTTGGCTTCATTTAGAGATGGTTCTCCAATGAAGACAAACAAAACACTGATTTATTGCAATCTGTGCAAAACGACGTGACGCGATACCGAAAGTTTTTTAAGGGCCATCTCCTCTAATCTATGGCCATATGTTCAACAAATTCCAAGGTTTGAGACAATTATGAACTTCTACGGGGGTCATTAAAAGATTAGTTGGACGGGTGGATTATATGACGGATTATATCCGTCATATAATTACATATTTGATAATGACAATTATATATTTGACAGTCAATCAAAATGTGCTTCACTGTCACTTTACATTCACAAACAAAATTCACTGGTTCCTCTTCTCTCTTCAACAAGTATTCATGTGTTGTAAAAGTGTGTCCTAATCTGAGAAGTTTTATTAGGACCTGATGTTGTCGCTTTGAAGGCCAGAAGTTCCATGGAAGGACGGAAGATTTTATTTATATCAATTTAGTGGTGCTTCTATTCCATTGGTTTTGCCAAACATGGTGCAATTTTGCTTTTAAGTAAGGTTTTAAATCTAAATGCACCGTTAGATCTTCCACTGATGCGGCTGACCTAGCTAGACCAGGGTTGTCCAACTGGCGGCCCGCGGGCCGCATCCAGCCCTCGAGGCTATTTGTTGTGACCCACGTAAGATTTTCGAAAAGCATATATTTTCTTTAAATGCTGCCACTGTGAAAAATATTTTTTAATTTATTTTATATTTTATGGTTTAGCAGTGTTTTTACATCAAAAGTACTGTACCGCGTGCCGCATCGCGGACGTGTAACGAACAGAATCGTCCTCCACCACTATGAGAACTGCACTGATTACTGCGCATCACAGTTCACGCAGGCCACACCTCCCACTGCTTACCATCCGTCGCCAGCCGCCATCGTGCCAGTGTACTACTGATACGTAGGCTAGTTGGCTAATCTATTACGTTGCTAGTGAACAGTGAACTTGATTAATTCTTTGTCTTGATTCCTCTTATACAATAATGAGTGTAAAACCAGTAAAACGGAAAATTAATAGTGAGAACAGAATTTACAAAGAAAGTTGGGAGAGTGATTACGTGATTGCTAACAATAATGGAAAGTTGCAGTGCTTAGTGTGCATGAATATCGTTTCAGTGTCTAAAGAATATAATGTGAGAAGACATTACACAACAGTGCATGAAAATAAGTATGCTACGTACACAAACGAAAGTGACTTGAGGACACATGAGTCACGTTCAGTTCCCAGTTTATTCCTTATAACAAAAACATGCCGAATTTACAAAAGGCTAAAAAACTTCGGTCATTCTTACAATAAGAGAAAAACTTGCTCTAATAAACGCTGTGGAAGAAGGGAATAAAACAAAAAATCAACTTGCGAAGTTCGACATTGCAAAGAGCAATACTTAAAAGTATGTCCAGCAAGGATACAATTTTAGCGTATTCGACCCAAGCCAACTTTGTCAACAAATTTCACAATTTCGATTCAAGCCTCGGAGATCCCGGATTTTGAAAAATGTCTCTTAAAGTGGCTTCAGGTATACCGAAGAAAAAACGTCCCAATCACTTTCCCTAACTTTCGACAGTTAGCTAAGTTACAAAGACTTTAGGGCTAACAGTGACAAATTTTAAAAACCATTTAGCATTAGTGTGAAGTCGGTATGTGGTGAGAGTATGAGTGTAAATGAGACACTGCGAGGACTGGAAAAAACTAAAATGTACTTGTTGGCCAGTTTTTCATCAGAAGAAATTTACAACGCCAGCGAAACAAGTTTGTCTTATATGTAGATGTACGCCAGATAAAACATTGAAATTCAAAATCAGCCAATGTCATGGTGAAAAGGAAAGCAAAGAGGGACTTACCATTTTACTCGCTGTAAATATGAAATCTTTACTGACGGAGTGTACAGTCAATTCAAAAGCCTGGATGACAGGTGAAATTCTAAAGAGGTGAGTGTTGTCTTGGGATGGAGAACTCGCCAAGGAAAAGAAAAAAACGGGTGTGGCAGTCCAGTGGGACTGCCGGTAGAAGTTAAACTTCTATACACGCGTTCGCCGTTAAAAATTTATATAGGAGTCAATCTGCACAATGATTACATATGTAATGCTATAGACAAGAGAGAGCAGAAAGAGAAAAAGCTGCACTGAAGATTAAATATCTTTCACCTAATACGACGTCAAAGCTGCAGCCACTTGACTTAGGAATAATAAAAAAATGAGTAAATCGAACAGAGTGATATTTTGCGACAGTACAATATGCTTCAGGCAATAAGGGTTGTGAAAAAATCTTGACATGACTGGTCAGTACGAAAACTGTGAGTAATTAGGTCTCTTCCTTTATTCTCTAGTGTAACACTTTTAAGTGTAGTTGAGTGTAAACTACACTGGATAGTTTCAAACAAAAATCATGGCTGTGGCACTAAACAAAGGAACGTTCTAATGTAGTTAACCTTTGAGTTGCGATTTAAATCAGCTTATTTTACGACTTGTTTATCTTTAGATTTTTTTGTTTTGTTTTCTTCTACCTTTGATTGTCCTTCTTTATTTTAAATAAACCTTATTATAATTAACTAGGTATCTTTAAAAAAAATTATAAAAATGAGAGAAACAATCACATCTGACATCTAAACAGTTATCAAAGGGTGGCGCAGTGGACGAAGTAGTTGATTCCTAATCTGAGAAGATGGATGGATTACGGCCACCGGTGTTTGAATTATTTCCTGACGCAGATGTTCACAGGACATGGTTGCTTCAGGGCATACCTTTACACATTTGGAAAGGCAGAAAATGACAAATGCCTGTATTGTGAAATATCGGACACTGTCTCACACACTTTATTGGTATGCGATAGATGGATAGGTGAGAGGAGCTTGCTTGAGAGAGAGTTGGGAAGTAGGGTGCAATCAGTCACGGAACTGGTGGAGGAGATGCTTAGGTCGTCAGATCGGTGGAAAGCAGTTCAGAGATATGTGAGGAGAATATTGGAAAGAAAGGAACAAGAAGAAAGGCTACCCGAAGGTATATATAGACAGGGTGTCCAGGACCAAGCAAGAAGCTAAGGCAGAATGAGAAGGGATGAGATTGAACATGAAGAGAAAGGAATAGAGGAAGAGAAGAATTCCGTCGTTGTGAGAAAGTGCTAGAATGCGTGAGAATTGTGCGTGAATGAAAGATTGGGTAAATGCCGTGCCGATGTTGCGTCGCAATCAGGGCGATCCGGCCGGTAATTTACCGCTGAGGAGGGTGTTTTTTAGCAGGTAGGTCTCGGGCATTGACGGCAATGGTGTCCGAACAACCCTAGCGCGCAGTCTCCCAGACAGCACAGGACATCCCTGGGACGTCCATTTTATGTCGTTTTAAGGTCCAAACGTCCCGAGACTTCTTTTGGACTTCCGAGGGACGTCCCATAAGGTCGTCCAAGGGACGTCCCATAAGGTCGTCCAAGGTACGTCCCATTAGGGATGTATTAGGGACGTTATCTAGGTGTTAACTGTGTCATTTTTTTACTTAAGCATATTTTTTACAAAATATAATCTTCCTACTAAACTTTATTTTAAAAAGTTATATTTAGTTTTAAATACCATTAATTTATACGAAAACAGACAAAGGCTCCTTTTAGAGAAAAATCTTATCCCATAGCAGAGCTGTATCTCTAAAATTTTGTTCTGTAGTGGAACTGAAATTTAAAAATTAGGAGATAAAAGAAGAATGTGGTTATGTTTTAACGACGCTTCTATTTATCTCGTTTATTTCTCGAATTATAATCATTGTGGATTGTGGTTGTAATTAGAATTAGTTTATTGCTTTCGATACTAGTTTATAGTTTGGTAATTTATTATTATAGACATTAAGTAGGTATATAGGACTTTTATAGGTAATTTTTGTGGTTGTGGTGTGTTGCTACATTTGTAAAGTAAGTAGGAGTAATGTACTTAAAAAATACTATAAATTTAGATACATCTGTTAATATAAGTACACAATAAAAATCCCATTTATTTTTGCTTTTCATTTTATTAATTTTAAGTTCCCTTTAGGTCCTGTATACATCCTAATTTAGGTCCTATATTAGTCCATGTGGACGTACAATAGATGTCCCTAATACATCCTTCTTAGGTCCTATATAAGTCCGTATTAAGTTCTGTATATGTACGTCCCCATGAACATCCCTGGGACGTCCAGGGGACGTACTTTTTGGTAACATTTAGGTCTTATTGGACGTCCCGGGGACGTCCAAATTATGTAAACGGATGTCCGTGGGATGTCCGGACATTTAATGAGGTACATCCTTTGGACGTCCATGGGACGTACTTGTGCTGTTTGGGCTGGATATCATGATGGCCACGTTGGAGGAGTCCTGCATAACCGAGGCTGGAAGGCGGTTCTGCCCACCTTTTAGGACCGAGGTATTGGACTATCCTCCCTCATAGAAGAAGAAAAACAAAAGAAGATAGTCACCCTCGCAGAAGCAGGTCTAGATTCATCGCTTTTTCTGCTACACTTTTTAATGGAACAGAGTGGTGTATCACTGAACCTTGTAAAGCGACGACTTAGTGTAGCACTTTTACACTTTTTTGGAACTGGTGCTACATCATAAAACAAATAACAGGCCTATTGTATTGATTCTTGCGGATTCGGAAATAATTCAGTTACAGAAGAAGAAAACCAACCTGAAGATTATGTTCCGGACTGGACAGCTCTTACAATGCATTTGGACGTCCCAAATCTTCAGTTCGAAGAGTTGGTTGCTATCAATTTGGAGGCACCAGTTTTTGCCACACTAATAGATGAGGAAATGGTGGCGAAAGTAACAGTGCAAGGAAGATTTGGGAAATAAAAAAAAAACTTAAAGACAGCAGTCACCTACCTATTATGCCTACTGCACAACAAGCCATCAGGAGTGCTCTGGAGACTTTGAGATTGTTTTTAGAAGGATAGGGTAGGAACGGAGTTAGGCCAGAAATCGTTGGCTCTTTGAATGCGATTACAAATAAGTACAATTAATTCACGAAAGCGAAAAATGCAACAATCTACAATTCTTAGCTATTGTAAAAAAATAATTAATAAACGCATTTTCTATTAAAATTATGATTTAAAAAATAATTTAATACATACACGTAGTAATTTTTAAAATGTATTTATTTTTAACTACTCTTGATAACTCGAATAAAAATCCTAATAACTCGAACTCACACACACATACCATTTGTAAAAGAAGGACGCCAATTAAACTGCATCACTATAATCCTCGCTGGAAGCTGTGTAAGACCCAGATAAGCCTTCATCTGAGATATAAATTTGAAAACTTTGGTCATTCCTTTTATGGTAATCATTAATCGTAGTGATAATATCACTACGATTAATGATTTATTATTTATTTATTAGAATTTTATTATTTTATTAGAATCCGTTTCTGTATTCCAGAATCGTATTTTTGTGGAATATTTTTAATCGAATGATCAGGATAATATCGGAAATCGGATCTGTGCCGTTCGTTTATTGCCGTCATCATCCGTCATTACCGATTCCGATTGAGCCGATTGTGGATTTTGTATGTTTTAGGTTATGTTTATGATATTTTAAGAAAAAAACAAAGATGAAATCTCAAACTGAATATAAATTAAAGTCAGCTCCAGAAGATGCCATTTCAGCTGTAAAGTTTGGGCCAAATACAAATCAATTTTTACTTGTGAGTTCTTGGGATGGATATGTAAGATTATACGATGTAATCGCTAATAACATGAGACATAAATATGCTCACGACGATGCAGCAGTATTGGATTGTTGCTTCACCGATGCAGTCCACTCATATAGTGGAGGATTAGATGCAGTATTAAAATCTTTTGACTTCAATTCGACTAAGGAAAGCTCAATTGGAAACCATGCAGCCCCTATCAAATGTGTGGAATATTGTAATGAAATTAATGCTATTATTACTGGAAGTTGGGATCATCATGTTAAGTTATGGGATCCTCGTCAACTTGCATGCAGTGGCAGTTACAATCAAGGTGAAAGAGTGTATACTATGAGTGTTTGTGGTGAAAAATTAGTTGTTGGAACAGCAGGCCGCAAAATTCTGGTGTGGGATATAAGAAATATGTCATACACTTTACAGAAGCGTGAATCAAATTTAAAATATCAAACTAGAGCCATAAGATGTTTTCCTAATAAACAGGGTTATGTTCTAAGTAGCATTGAAGGTAGAGTTGCAGTAGAATATTTGGATACAAACCCAGAAGTACAAAAGAAAAAATATGCTTTTAAATGTCATCGAATTAAAGAGGATGGTTTAGAAAAAATTTATCCTGTTAATGCTATTAGTTTCCATCCTATACATAATACTTTTGCTACTGGTGGATCAGATGGTTATGTCAATATTTGGGATGGTTTCAACAAGAAACGTTTATGCCAATTCCATCAATACCATACTTCAGTGACTTCATTAAGCTTCAGTCACAATGGATCTGTGTTAGCAATTGCTTGCTCATACTTTCTTGAAGAAGATCCCTTACCTGATCATCTTCCAGAGGATGTAATTTATATTAGAGCTGTTACAGATCAAGAGACAAAACCTAAATATGTTGCCTCTAATTAAATTAAAGACTTTTATATATTTAAGTAAGTAATGTAAAGTTAATGTTTATCCCAACATTTTGTGTATTTTCTAATTTTAAATCTAACTATAAATAAATTATTAAAACAAAATTAGTCTAAATGTTTATTGTTAAAATATTACCAGCATAATATCATTTGAAACAAATTATCTAACAGATAAAAAATGAGTACAAAATAAAATCCAGCAAATATTGATGCTTTAATAACAAATTGTTGTACCTGCAAACAGCAAAACTTTTTAGGATAAACAAAAAAATGGACATTTTTATCTCAAATGTGTCTCTAATTACAATAACCATTCAATGATCTATAAGTGTATTTTTCTGTAAAAGAGCTTACTTTTTATTATTTTTCTTAAACTGGACAATGCAATATAATCATAATCAGCCTGCAATTTGTTTTTTTTTTATGGAGATGATCCTTTACCTGCAGATCTTTTATAATTTTGTCAGTATACCAAACAGGATACCTGTTTTATTCTGTTTTTATTAGATTTGAAAAGAGGTACAGTTTGATCTAATATGCTATACAGGCAATCATAGAAAAATGTGACGGCTAGATTGACATTACAAATAAAAGTTAAAAATTTTCAATTTGTCTCAGAAAGTAGTTTATAAAGAAGAGGGTAATTGGCTTTTCTGAAGTTGTAACTTTTATTGCAAGAGATTACTTGAAAATTAATGGTTAATAAACCACTCTGGAGAGATAAGGAGATACTGAGGCTATGATGTGACCTATCTTCAACGACAAGGGGCAGATTTTCTCTATTGGCCTCACATTCAAAATTAACAATTGCATGATCCAGTATATTATTATGATTTTATAATGTCACATATGAAGATAACATTATTATTCAGGTTAGGCTCAAATATAGAGAGGAACTCAAAGAGACTTTGATAGTGGCCCATTGTTGAATTTGGTTTACTTAACATAAATAACAAAGACATGTACTAATTCATAGATCAGTAATTTACCGCCCAATAAATCAAGTTCTTGCATCAAATATTCAAAATTGTAGATGTTTGTGAAGTTTCCGTTACTGCCACCAGAAGATTTTCACACAGGTTTATGGAATTTTGATAAGTAATGCATTTATTCTTGTTAGACAATGTAGCTAGTTTAAATTTTTATTAGTAAAACAGGAATATACCCCTTTGATAAAATGATTTCTACTTAACTTGACTTCTTACCGAGCACACTAACTGATTGTCCCCAAATTGAGAAAGTTGGCAGTTTACAAGACATTCGTCATTTAAAGAAGAGGACGCTGTTGGTCCACAAGTTGAGGAAGGAAATCACGGTCCTCAATTCAATGAAACTTATTATAGTCAAGATATAGAAAACCCTGACTCTTAAAATACTTTAGGAAATAGCAAGGAATTTATACCACCAGCACAATTCTGCTCACCATTAAAAGCTTGACCAAGGAAAACTTTAAGGAATAGAAAAAAGGTAAAAGTATCACAGCAACAGACACTCCAGAAAAAGAAGAGATTGAAAGAGAAACAATGATCAGAAAGCAAAAAATAGAAACAAAGAAATATAACAAAAAAGGAAAAAAAAGTAGTGAGAAAAATGTTACAAGACACTTCAGAGTTTGAATCTGATGGTTCTATGATCTTGGAAAGTGATGATCTTATGTCACATGAAATTTTAGATGAGGAGAATATGCAAAGCGCTATAGAAGGGTTGGGACATCTTACGAGAGATCCTGTTGAGAGAGAGTTTGTTTTGGTAATATTCCAGGGATAAAAAGGATATAATTTACTACATTGCAAAAGTTTTAACAATCGATGATATAGATTGCGAAGTTAGTTTCTTGAGAAAGAAGAGTTCATCACAATATTGTTTCATTATGCCTGATATTCCTGATATATCTACCGTTTTGAAATGTGACTTAAAATTGATATTACCAAAACCTTTGAATCATGGTAGTACCTCAAGGAGCAAGACTAATGTGTAATTGTCCTTTTTCTTGTTTAATACTAAGTAAATATTTCTTCTTTTGTTCATATTACATCCAATATGTTAGAAGAATGTTATGTCAGGTTAAATAATTTTGTTTGGTTTTGTTAATAATATGTTTATCATAACTTTTAATATAACTTCTTATTAGACTCCAATTTTGAATGATACATGATCTATTTAATAAACATGTATTTTAGAATAGATAGTTACTCTAGTATAAGTACATCAGATATGAATTGAATCAGTGAGTTGAAAAAGGCACACATTCCAAATTGACTTTTTTTGCAGGAACCAAAAAAACTGTTTATCTGCAAAATTAAATATGGCACAGAAAATGTTTCAATTATGATCTTCACAATTATGAATTTGTCAAAGTTCATAACTGAAACATTTTCTGTTACATATTTAGTTTTGCAGATAAACAGCTTTGTTTTTGGTTCCTGAAAAATAGCCAATTTGGAATGTGTACCTTTTTCAATTCACTGATTCAATTGATGCTTACCTATAACAAATCTTAAAAATTTAATATATTGTATTCAAAAACAAAATTGAGAAGGAATGGGAGATAAATTAAACCATCATATTAACTCTTTATTTACTTTTAAATTAAATTTCTTTTACTGTACAATAATATTAGAGCTAATAAGGCAAAAATAGACACTGAAGCACAAATATACGTCAGTACATTGTTGTAAAAGTATGGACAGGAGCTTTTTGGAGTACACTGGCTGAAAAGAAAATTTAATTAGTATAATTGAATCAGTCATTTTGAAAAGGGTCACCTCCACTTTTTAAATTTTACGGTAGAGGTACAAAACTTATCTTTAAGAATATTGGCAAAAAAAGGTTTTTTTTGTTTTAAAATTTACTATATCTACTGATAAATAATTTAAAAATGTTTTTTTTTTTTAATTTTAAAGACCTAGAAACGGCAACAAGAGATGAACAGGTATTACAAAAAAGTATTTTGCATCTAAGAAGATCGCTTTGCAATTAAATGCTGGTAACTTTATTACAGCGGACTAGATAAGCAGCGATATATTTTACACAACCTTTATGAATAAAGTTAAGATAGTTTAAAATTTGTTCGTGTTTTTTGCAAATTCTTGAAATTAATGAGTTAGACTGGATCCAATAAATATAAAACCAAATATTGTTGTTTGTAAAATTGTGATATTCAAAAATCTACTTACAGGTGCTGGACAATAAAGACAACTGATCCTGATATAAGCTTATCCGTAAATGTTACAAAACTGTAGATCATACCCCCTCCAGATCCATTACTTTTTACAAAATTTGCTGTTAAGCAGAGACTGGATACCATAGTAGTAGATCCAGTTATTCCTATAATAATAAAGTAGATGTATAGGTGACAATTGAAATTTAAAGAATGTACCTAATAGAGCAGCAATACTGTAGAGCTCAGTGTCAGTTTCTGAGGAAACTCCCACTCCAATCCAAACAGATGTGACTAGTCCAATTAAAACTCCAATTAGGTATATAACCTGTAACATATATGTGCTAAAAATTAGTACACAGCAATGATAAAAATTATGTAGGCATATTATATAAAACTGTCAACATTTCCATCCGCAAGTTCCGACTGAATATAGTCCATTTCCATCATATTGATAGCACATTATGTATGCAAATCCGTAAACTGTTGATACGGGTGACTCAATGAAAAATAGATATTTATCAACAAGTTTACAGAAGTATATAGGAAAACAATTTTAAATTGAGTATGACCACCAGGTATAAAGGTTGAAGCAGAATAGAATACAATAGTTTTGAGGGTTACTAATCCCTAAATAAAGTTGCCAGTGTCGGAGTGATGGAGATTAACAGTTACTAATGAATTTGCAAGAAATGTAAGATGTTTATTTTATTGGTTATATATAAAATAATTTGTGGCCGTAATAGGGGCCGATTTGTAAAAAAAATGAATATTATTTTAATCAAATTCCATTTCAGATTGACTGCTTTCTTCAGAATCTAAGGAATCTTCAACTCCAATGTTAATTATTACCGGTTCCAGCATTGCATCAGTCATATTATCCAAATTCCACATTTTATTTTCTTCCTTTTGAGCATGACTAACAGCATTTTTCCAATTTTCTGGAGTTACTACAAGGAATGTTCTAATAATTGTTGTAAGTCTTCTAATTTAAAAGTTTTGTTGTTGCGTCCGACTTTACCCTTTACTTGAGACCACATATTTTCTATCGGATTCAGATCACAGTGGTATTGGGGTAAACGTAAAATAAGTACATCACGGTTTAATGCCATTTCATCAATTATATATTTTTTATAAGCTGCTTTATGTTGCCTTAAAATAGGTAATAATTCCTTTTTTGTCGAATTTTCCTTCTACTCAATTGCGTATTTATCCAACCATTCGATTATCTCTCCTTTTTTCCATGCCGTTGTTGGCAATTTTTCTGCTAGTCTTGAATGGTAATTAACATTATCCATGACTATGACAGAATTTTTTGGAATTAAATCCAACATTTCCTCAAAATATTCTTCAAAAACGTCAGCAGTCATTTCCTCGTGGTAATCTTTGGTTGATTTTGAGGCAAAACTTAATAATCTACCATTGACAAAACCGTCTTCGTTTCAAATATGGGTTATTAGGAGTCTGCGTCCTTTTCCAACGGGAATATTGTTAATTCCAGTAGATACACCTTCGATGAATGCTTGACGGGAACTTTTCACATTTCTATCAACCCATAGATATGGTACAGTATGACCTTCATTTAGCCAAGTCTCGTCCAAATAAAAAATTGCTTTCCCTTCTTCTCGGTACTTTTTAATAGTTCTTAGATAATCTCGTCTCCAACATACAATGTAATCTTTTTCAATTAAAACGGATTTTCTTCTATTCTTTTGCCAACGAAATCCCATCTCTCTCAATAGTCCCCATAATTTCTTGTTGCTTATGATTGGTAACTCTTCGTTTTCTCTAATTAATGTTTGGATTTTGTCCAATCTTGGAAATTCTTTGTTAAAAAAAATGAGTGGACGCTGCGTCTTATCATGTTTTTATGTATTTCTTCAATTTCCAAGGGTTTACTCCCTCCACTCTTCTTGCGAGTTGAAACAATTCCTCCTTTTCTTTCTTTTAGGAATCTATAAATTGTTGCTTCTCCAACCCTGTCATATTTGAACACATGTTAACGATTTCACGAACAATACTTAAAGGGCGTTGATGTACAAGTGCATCGTTTACATTTAATATTATATTTTTCTCTCTTAGACTAAAGGCACCTTTAAAACTACACTTAACTGATATAAAACCTGTTGTCGACGTCATTTTTAAATGCAAATAAGAAAATATCGACACCAAAAACGTAGGTAGGCAAGACATGAACAATGTACATCTACAAACTAAATGGAAGATGCAAACAATTTCTAATTTATATTATTGGCATAAGCTGCAATGTGGCATAAAAACTACTTAAACTATCATTAGTGAAGCCAGGTAATCGTTGAAAGAAGGTATTCTTTTTGTGTCAGGCGATAACTTGTATAGAAAACAATAATCGCCTTTAAATTACTGTTTACATTAATTTATTTTGTGAAACATTGAATTCTCTCGTTAACCACCCGTGTATAATTAACAATAATCGTGTGGCATATCTACCGATGTTTTTTACGCACAAAAAAGGTATAGTGAGATTAGTGGACACTTATTTTACAGAAGATTTTTTAAAAGATAATAAATTATTGACGGCATCTTAAAATATTAGTTTTTTTTATTTATTTCAAAACAAGTATAGGGTGACGCCTATGGTTTTTTGACCTGTTGAGGATTTGCATACATAATGTGCTATCAATATGATGGAAAAGAACTATAGTAACAGACATTCTCTCTATCTGATAGTTACGCGAAAAATATCCGCGAATCCTCTTTTGAATCGTAGAGACAACCAACGCAAATGTGCTCTATCTCTTCATCTTAGTACAGCAAGACGCATGTTTAGAAACCGGTAAAGACAGCTCCCCCCGTACAAGGAAAAACCTTAAGTGAAAGCCTATAAATACCGCAGGTGAGTGTGTGTAACAGCAGTATTGGTAAGACTTTTTTGATCTGGCTATTACATGTATAACCCTTTACTACCTTTCCTAATTATTTTGAACCAGCCCTATTTAATACAGTTCTCATATACTGATATTATAATAATATATATATATATATATATATATATATTATATATAATATATATATATATATATATATATATATATATATTATACATATATATATATATATATATATATATATATATATATATATAATATATATAAATATATATTATACCCTTTTTTGTAGAGTAGGAAATGTCATCATTTCCAATTAAGCAAATGAATACAGTAACAAAAAAAAATAGAACAGTAGCATGTACAGTAGTATATAATAAGTAGTATAGAACAGTAGTAACAGTAGATGTAAAGTATAAAATAGAATCTTTATCAAATTGGTCGACAAAAAGACTCTCTAGCAGTAAAGGTTGAAAACGGAAATAAGAAAATATTCGACATTTTATCTAAACACATAAGTGTTAAATAATATATAGTGTTTACCTTATCTCCAATAACACCAACACGAAATTTGAGAAATAGAGATGTTAGAAACGACGCTATATAAGAAGTTAAAGGAATACTGGCAATGCTCTGCCTCATTCTTTCCTTTTCCATATCATTTAACGTACCTCGTTCTTCTATGTAAAGAGGCATATAAATCAAGTTTAAAGTTGTAAATAGCCTGGAACACATATACCTAAAATAAACAAAAAATTACTTTTGTAAAATTTCTGCAATATCAACATATATGTACATTGGAACTATTTATATTGCATTCAAACACCGCTGTAAAATCTGGATTTATTAACCGTTTTAACCAATTTTTTAACAAATAACATTTTTGTGATGGATTCGACCGTTACATGGAGAAAGTTTATTTTATCTACAAATAAAACACTAAAAACTTTTGTTTTCTACACTTCCTTAAAATTTATTACCATTTATTTCACTACAACTGATTCGGCAAAGGGCCTTTCTCAAGTGATGTATTTTTCTTCATCATTGTATCTTTGTATGTGGAGTTATGTTTTCTTTGACTGGTTTGTCTGCGAATCCTGTTCTAGGTGACTTTTTATGGTGTGATTTATTAAATGGTAGCAGTGGATACGTTGTTGTTCGGTAGTGATTGTTGATGGTGTCGTGCGCAGGAGATCGTCTTCCGAGGTTGGTCAGAGAAGAAAAGGCTTGGATGCTCAAACGATTCTTTTCAAAAATTTTTTGGATGAGTCAATGAATTGAACATAAAAATGGTATAGTTATATGAATTGAACTTATTTTTACGTTGACTGTGGTTAGACTAAAGTTAATTTCAGATGTCTACACGAACACGTACAACAGATAAACAGCCAAACACATTAACAAATTTAACAACCTTTTCGAAAACATCAGAAACAACAAATACAATATCCTGACAAGACATAATGCAAACAACACATCAGTTGCCCATCTATCTAGAAGACAGTTGAACGCAACAGAGAATCTGATGTTCTCGAAAGTTAGAACCCCGTATTGTAAAATCATTAGTCAAATACTCTTTTGCTGCGTTTTAAATACTTACATAACAGAAACACAATATATAAGAGTTTGTTTTAAAAAATGTTTTGTCGGTTTGTCCAGTTCAGTCATCTCCATTTGAACAGTTTCATCTCTTAATAATGGCTCATATTCTTCTTCATAGCTACCCAATAATCCACAGTAGAACAACATCGATGATAGTAATCCGAGGAAGATAATTAGAAGAGCTATTTCCTAAAAATTAATTATCTCATTTAACTATCAAAAAACAGAAGAAGGTAAAGACAGATAAGGTAATTGTCTTTTAATAAATACGTAAATTCAGATTACATTTAATACGAATTAGGTTGTCCTCTGGACTCCAATATGAATTACGAAAGATTTAAAATATATAAGACGGAAAGAGTAACAAGTATTTTGGATAATATCTATTTTGTTATTATTTTATAGGTCATATTCTATTCATTGTGGCCATAAGCCTCCGCTTTTCTCTTTCATTGGCCTCTAACCAGTACTTTATCATCCGTCGTGTTCTATAGAAAATGTCACACCGAGAGTGCAGTACGGCTAATATAGGAATGCACAATTGCCGGATTTCACTCCTTGTGCTTGGCGATACAAACAGGTCCAAGTGGTAGTCGGGCCCAGATCTCTACGCCGGGCTCTGTTATTTATTATAAAATATTATATTGATAAAATAATTGCCTTCAAGTAGCCAAATAAGAGGCATGAATTTGAATAAAAAGACCTTAAGTTTTTAGCGAGAATTTTATTATAAGACTGTATACTTTATTAAACTAACAAATATGTTTTAAATTACATTTCTTGATAGCTATAAATATACCGGGTGGAACCTCCGGTAACTCGATTTCCGTGCACCCAGCCCAATATCCAAGAAAAAATTTTTCTTTTG